CAACAATGAATGAGTGGAAGCCCAAAATCTCTGTAAATGTTTATGAAAATTAATAAAATATAATTATAGAAAAAAAAGGATTGTGTGTGAAATAAAAGTGCTAAGTAATAAGCAATCTTCTCAGAAGAGTCACTTCTGGCCTAAGTAGCCTCAGGTTACTCTGTTGCAAAAGCAGTAGATCCATTCAATGTATCTCACCTTTCTAGAGATTGAAGAGACATTTAAACCAAATCTTTGAGCTCTTTCCTTCAGCTTGTCCAAGTTAACCTAAAACACATAAAAAAAGACTATTTTTAAAAAGTCAAACAGGAAGTATGTAATGCAGAAAAACTATGGCCTAAAGTTAAGAGTTTTAAACCTTACAACATCAGTGTTTGAAAAAATAAAAAACAAAACAAAACAACAATGTCTACAAATAAAACTCCTAAATTGCTTCCAATACATTTTCTGGTGCTAAGTAAGGATCAGCAATTACTCAAGACATTAGAAAAGGTCTAAAACTTCAGGACCATAAGGCAAAGAAATCATATGGCTTGTTTTATAGCTAACAAAATCTATCTTCCCAAAAGGAATGGTGGAAAGGGAGATAATCAACAGTGACTCGGAAAATGTGGCAATTTTTCTAGCCTCTTGGGACCTTAAACAATTAAAAAAAAATTCTAGGGCATAGATAACATTATGCTGAAAATGAACAGTCACCAAGTCATATGAACTTAGGTGCTGGGTTTTTTTCTTACAATCTGTGGAGAATGAAAAGTTTCTCTAACTTTAAATCAAATTAAATTAAGATCTGGTTCTACAAGGAATAGAAAAAGATTTCTTACCACAGGCTTAGTGTCAGGTGACAGGCCTAAAGAAGCAAATAAATTTTTATTTAATATTTTAGAAAGTTACAAAGAAGATAATAGTTTTCAAACAAAATCAGACAGTACAGAAATAGTATCTAAGATAAATGTTCTTTATTCTACAATGAGAAAGAAAAGGCAGGAGTTATAACTAGAAATCATAATCTTTATTCAGTACTAGTGAAAGTAAAATAATGAGCTACCCTGCGAAAACACTGAGGTTCTTTAAAAAGCTAAATCACAAAGTTACTAGTTGACCTAGCAAATTAATTCCTAAATAAAATCCCAAGAGAAATTAAAATATATGTCCACAAAAACACCTGTACATCTATGTTCATAACAGCATCCAAAAAGATAACGAAAATTGTTGAATGGATTAAATAATACGATGCACACATGTTGTTGTGTTGTTGTTATGTGTCGTCGAGTCGTTTCCGACTCATAGCGACCCTATGCACAACAGCCCTAAACCCTGCTCTATGCTGCGCCAACCGCACTGCCTCTGACACACCCATCCCGATTACCCCAGTCACTGAATCAATCCATCTCATAAAGGGTCTTCCCCTCCTGTGCTG